ATAGTAGTCCGTTCTGGAAAATTTCTGGAGATATTATAGCGTTGTCTTAGAAAATAATCCATCTTAAATTTCGTATAGATATCTCGTCAAATGAAAAAGTTTTCATACAAGCACTTAATTTTTATTGTTAAGTTTGTATGGCAGCTATATGATAAAGTAGTCCGATCTAGAGAATTTCTTCGCATATTATTGCCTGGTCTTAGGCTATAAACCTTGCCAAATTACGTGAAGATATCTCTTAAAATTAAAAAGAGTTTTACACAGGCACTTAATTTTTATTGTTCGGTTTGTATGGCAGCTATAAGTTATAGTGGTCCGATCTTGAAAAATTCTTCGGATGTTGTTACTTAGCCTTAAGCAATAATCCATGCCAAATTTCGTGAAGTTATCTCGTCAAATGAAAACATTTTTCATACAAGCACTTAATTTTTTTGTTCAGTTTGTATGATATCGGCGGCTCCAAGATTTCCTTCTAGGCATTACGAACTTCGTGTTAAACCCTACCTTGTGCTGGGTGTAAAAATCGTTATCATTCATGCTGTATATCATTTTTCTCATCTCTATATTTTTTAACAGGCTGGATCTATGCAAATTCATGTGTATATACAAATAACATGTATATACAAACTTGTGAGCAGTCAGCATGTCATAAGTATGTGTGCAAATGTGTCGAATAAAAAATAGCGTCGATGAAAACAAACAGAATACCAATAGCGTACATATAAACATACACTTTCCTCCATCTTTGACGTGCTATCCAAATACCGGTTCAACATTTTACTTGTTGCCTCTTTATATTGAGCGCTGCGCGCCCAGTTTTACTTAACATTTCTGCTTTAGTGAAACATTCGTGTTGCTTTATCTAAACTTTTCCATAACATTCTTGTACGCAATTTCTTTTTGTACTGCTTTTCACTACCTTTTTTTTCTTCCCTTTTAATGAGTTTCACTCCCGCTGTAGTATTTTGTTATTGCTACTGCTGTCCCGTTGATATGCTCGGTATTTTGTGTGTGTATGTGTGCACTAATTGTGATCACAACTCGCAAAGACCACGTGAATATAACGTTATATGCTCTCGGTATGCCGTCACCGCGCAGTCCAATCCAAGGTGAACTCACGAGGGATTTGTAAATAATTTGCCTTTAATTAACATTCTGACATCATTAACCGTAAACACAAAATAACGCCCACAGGCGGACAAAGTGCAGCGCCGCAAAGCGTACAAACAACTTCTGCCATAGTGTTTTACTTGCGTAGTGCCTTCGATGCGTGTGAGTCATGTAAAAAAAAAATGAAATATTGTGGGTTTGTTGTACGTCGCTTTCTTGTTGGTCAAAGTTATGTACGCTTTTCCGTCTGTCCCCAGCTTTAATGTAATTGCAATATTACATGACTTTTATATAGTTAGTGGTGCTGTGTGTATTTGTAGCGCACTTGTCTGTCACCAGTGTGGTGTAGCTTAATTAAATAATAAAATGAAAACGCTGTTGCATACTCTAAGGCATTGGCGAAAATATTATTGTGAAACGACTTTCGTTGGATTGAAGTAGAGAAATTCACTTTTGCTCAAATTATTGAAGTATAGAGGGGATGAGGTTGTTTGCGCACAAAAATACATTAGGGGGGTACTTCGTCTAGAGTCTAGAGGCGTGAATTTTAGTTAGTTTTTGAAGTGGCAATTCATAGTTTCACTATCATTGCTTTTATTAGTTATTTCTCAATTTTACTAGAATTTGTAGTTTCAAAAAAATTTAAAAAATTTAAGAAATTAAAAAAAATACAAATAATTAAAAAAATTAAGGATAATTAAAAATAATTACGAATAATTTATAATTAATGGCGAATAACTAAAAATATTATCCGAATAATTAAAAAAAAAAAGTTTAAAAAATTACGAATATTTTAAAAATTGAGGAAAATTAAAAATTAATTGCGAATAATTAAAAATTATTTACGAATAATTAACAAGTAATTGTGAATGCTTAAAAACTAAAAAAAAAATTTAAAATAAATACGAGGAATTAAAAAATTCCAATATTTACGCGTATAAATTAAATTAAAAAATTTTAATTAGCAAACTAAAAAACTAAGTACTTAGCCATATTAATTCCGTCGTACAGCTGTTTATTGTACTTATTTATTAGTGTTTTTAAATAATTGTGGTGCTGCTGAAGAGTGTAAGCTTAGCTTTGCTTAGTGTTGTTGTTGTTGTAGCTCTGTAAGTATTATTAAAATAAGTGTTTTGAGCAAGCGTGTTTTAAGCAAATAAACAGTATTATTTTAAACTGAAAAAAGACAAAATAAAATATATTTACTGAAAGCAACTAACGGAGAGGAGAAATAGCAAATAATTTTGAAATATTTAAAAGACTTAAGCTGGTAGTTTTTTCGTGAAAAAAAAAAACGAGTTTAACTAATAAGTGGAGCAGCTTATATTTAGCTGGCTAGTAATAAGTAATAAAAAAATTTAAGTTACTAAATTAATTAAGCTAAGAGAAAGCCAAAGAATTGCTCAATATAAAATAAGAATTTCGAAAAATATACCACATACTGGGAATGATTTAAAAAGGTCAAAAAAGTTGGTGAAGGTTTGCTCCAGATTTGTTTTAAATCGTAAATAAAGAAAGAAAGTCAAATCAACCAAATAGCCATTTTCGGGCCTACATATTTTCGAAATAAATTAAAAATACTGAAAATTAAAAAACTCGTTTGAAAAATAGATTATGGTTGATAGTGCTTGTAAGTACTGCCGTTACTGGTAAAAGTGAAAACAATATTGAGATAAGAGACCTAGTTTCAAAAACTCAAAATATAAGAAAGCGGTTTTGAAGCATATTCCAAATAACAGAAAAAGTGGCAAGCCGAACTAAAATATTCCAAAATTCGGTGAAAGGAAATTTTTTTGGAACTTTAATATTAAAATATGGAAAAGAACAAATAACTGAAATTACTTTAAAAACGAAAATTTTTAGCAAAGAAAAAAAAATCACTCTCAGAGAGATTAAAAATGTTATTCAAAAACAACAAAATTTCAAAATTTTGATGTAAGTGTAAGAATTATTGCGAAAAGTTCTTAAATTAAAAGAAAAATTCTAAAAAATCTTGAAATATTTATACCAACAATACAACGATTTACGGAGAGTTGAAAACTTATAGAAAGTGGATTAAAGTTTGATGAGCTTTCCAATAACGATTTGGATTTTGAAAATTCAAAAACTTAATTTAAAAAGTAATGGTGTTAAACGAATGTATTGATTACTAACAAGAAGTAGCGGTAAAATATACAAATTTAAGAGCCGCAAGGAAATCTTTTCCAACAAATCGAACCAAACTACTCCGAAAAATTTCTAAATACGCCGCAAAATTTAACGTTTTAAAGCAATTTTAAAAGACAAATTTCGAATATAGTTCGTATGCTTCGAAAAAAGTCCGAATAATACTCTGAATATTTCGAATAAAATCCGAAAACTACTCCGAACACTTCGTATAAAGCTCGAGTAATGCTCTCGTAAATACTTCGAATACTGAATACAACCGTTATCCAAAAAAAAAAAAAAAACAAAAACACCGGAAAAATATACTAAAAGTGATATCCAAATATAGGAAAAATCTTTGGCGTTTATATGAGTCCAATTCGTTGAAAAATTAAAAAAAAAAAATTTCTGAAGAAATTAAATTGTTGTTTGCAGTTTGCTAAATTACAGTTTCGTAAATTTGTGAAATACAGTGAAAAGTGAGTTTCACAACAAATCTTCAAACACTCCGAATTTACTCCGAATTTTCTCTGAAAACACTTTGAATTTATTCCGACACTTTGATGAATATAAAATTACACACATTTTTGACGACCAATAAAGAGACGCACTGAATTAAGCAATTTTTGTGAACGAATTGCTCAATATAAAATAACTTGCTCGATTCGTATAATCTAAAAATTTTATGATACGAAGTTTTATAGCAAATTATTAACAACGTACCCACACCTTGTCAACGCATACCAAACCCAATAAAAAATTTTTGAGCAAATAAGCGCGAACCAGCGAACCTACCAACAACAATTCCAGTTAAGGTGAAAAGTTAATATTATAACAAGAATTCCGAAATTTCAACGAAAGCAAAAGCAATATATTAAAAGAGCAATAAAATTGCATAAAAAGCGAATTTAAAATCGCCAAGCACAATAAAATAACGACGTAAACCCGACACAACCTAACGGCAGTCACAATTAATAGCACATCTGGCAACAACAACAAGGCGCACAGTTCCCCGCACTACCAGCCCACAACCGTAGCCATCTTAGCCGCCAACGTGCCATCAATAAGCACTAAAATTGCGTCAATAAAAAGGAAACCCTCTCCAGTCCCCATTCCACATAAGCAGCTCATTCTAGCGACAGCGGCAGCAGCAGACGGCGCAGCAGAGGCCTCGACAGCGTTAGCAACAGCAGTTACACCAACAGCAGTAGCAGCAGCAGGAGCAGCGGCAGCGGCGGCAGCAGCAACAGCAACACCAATAACAACAAATAGCCATTTAACGGCATACACGGAACCGTCATCTGTGGCAGTGGCAACAACACACGCGACAACAGCAACAACAACAGCCACAACCAACGAAGCAGACACGAGTTACGCTAACAGTCCTGCTGACATTACAGCAACAACACCAAACGCATTAGCGCCAATAACGACAACAGCAGCAACAACAACAGCGATAATCGGTACAACACCCGTACTCGATTATTTGAGTCAACAACAGCAGGTGCAGCAAACACAAGCGGTGTCACAGCGCTCCACCGCCGTTTCTGCTGCTGCTTCTGCTAATTTGATTTCACGTCAAACGTCGCAACAACAACACCAACTGTCGCAATCACAGCCACAGCAGCAGCCGCTGCTGTACACGTGCTCCTCCGCATCGCTGGCGGCTTCATCGTCATCGATATTGGCTCAGCCGCCGCCAACGAAGATTTTTAAGACGGATCATTTGTGTGTGAACGCTTACGGTTTGCCCACTGTTGCCGCTGCTGCTGCTGCTGGGCATCCTTGCGTCTACTGTGTCATACCAGTTGTGGTGAGTGTCGTGTGTAATATTTTTTTTTTCAGTTTCCAGATTTTTTCGGCTGGTTCGTGATGCTTGTTGCTTTGAATGTTTGTAGCTTTTAAAGGGAAAAAATGAAAAAGCTTCCGGTAAAAATGTCCTAAAAATTAAAAAAAAAAAAAAAAAATGGAAAAATTGCGTTTCTGACCTGCCCTTAACTGCTTGTATCCTGCGTATTTCAGTGTCCTTGTTATTTTATGCACGAATTATTCATAATACTAAGTAAAAGAGGCGCTGCCATATTATCATTTCATTGCTTTGCATTGTTCATTGTTCAGTGGCATGTGAAAAAGGGTTAACGGCAAGTCCGTAATAAGGAAAAAGGCTCAAATTTTATTTCTTATTTTATTTACTTCGAACAATATAATTGTATGCCTTGCAGGCAAAGCAGCGGCTGAGTAAATTCATTCGGTAGATTGAAGAAAATCACGGATTTTTCTAAACCCATACATAGACCATTACACATATATTATATATTAAATTTTTTGGTATTATTCCTGCATAATTCGTTTTATTCTTTGTCGGTCTCTTTGCTCAAATTAACTTTGGCTTATCAATTTTTTATTCTTAAGGGCAATCAACAAGAAAACGAAATAAAAAAGGAGTCATAATAAAACACAAACAAAAGTTATCTTCAAATAAAATATTGCAGTCGTTCTACATTTCACAAATCTAAATTAAGATAACTCTCTTCTTAACGCAATGTTATTGTCTTTGACATGATTTGACCAAGTTGGAAACAACACTTCCCGTAATATAATTCTAAGCCTTATCATTGCTTTAAAAATAAGCTCATTTTGAGTTAATTTAAGAATACCAATTCATAATCTAATCTTCTATATACTTGTTATAAGCCTCTGTTGGAATAGCCTTGAAGGCCTCCGCTTAACCTCTTAAAAAACCTGGTACTAACGACTGAAAACGCGTTTCACGTTGCGACCAAATTTGGTGAATACGGTATTCATTGAGTTTTTGGCTTCAGATTCGGTCACTATCGTAGCTCGATGCGAAGGTACATCACCATCGAGAAAAATTCAGTAGTTGTTCTTCCACAATTCCGGCCGTTACGCCTCGATAGAACTCTTATTGACCGTCTGTTCCGCTGGAACAAATTTATGTGCAGCCACAAATACCGGAAAAACAATGAGCACTACCTTCATTTTTGAGCGGCTTTGTCGTGATTTTTTGGTGTCATCTCGTTTTTTGCCTCCAGTCCGATGATTGTTGACTTGTTTGCATGTAAAACTCATAACTCTATGTATCATCGGCAATTTTAATCCTATCAATGAATGTGGGATCGGAATTCGCAGGTCAAAAATACCTGTTTACGGTATCCTTTTTTCAAAAAGAAAAAAACTCAGCTTTATCGAGTCGAGAAAGAACGCTTTTCATACCCAAAATATTCAACTAAGACATTCGAGCGGACTCGTCAGAGATGTCGAGCTCTCTTGCCATCTCTTCAACTTTTCCCTGATGATTTTCAAGCACTATACCCGTCACTTTTTTTAATAATTACATTAGTTGAGGTCGTCCAGAATGAGGGATATCCTTTAATTGTTATAATGTATGATATTTACCTGCACTTGATTATGACACTCTGTGTCATTTGTGCCAATTGTGTGTTCGATTCAGTATTCTCCACGTTATGACGAACCAATAACAGCTTATAGTACATATGTATGCTTAGATAATTGTTGTGAAATTAGAAAACAAATTATCAAAGTAATTAGCTAATGGCGACTTTTCTTTGTAACTATGTTAGTAGTCAGGTCACATACCACCTTATACCGTTAACTACTCTGTTTAAATTAGCTAGTTTCATTAGTCGACATCCGTCTTTTACTAGCGTGCCAAAAGCTTTGACAACATATACTCTGTTGATTTCCTTTAATTACAGGAAAATATTGGCACTTTCTTGTCAAAGTAAAATGCATAAAAATATTTTCCACAAATAAAAAAAGTGAAAAAAAAAAATTGGAAAAATGCAACGGACTAGAGAAAAAAGTTAGCTTCAAACTGCCATTCGAGGTAGCGTTGCCGGCGACAAAGACAAACTGTTAGTGGCAGGCAGCTTGGTTTGCCGGAAATTCTAAGACGTTGTCAAATACAAAAATTCGCTCTATAAAGTACATTTCGTAGCAAGCCTGGTATATGCACACCCTTACACTCCAACAGAGCCTTACTCATATAATTATACAAAGAAATATAACAGAATAAGGAAAAATTGCCTGAAAAGCGGCATGCCTCTACACAAATGGCGGGTGCAGGGTAGAGAACGTGTAAACGAGTGCTGTAGACATAGAAACAAGGAGTTCTCTGTTGAGGCAGGAAATAATAGCGTCACAGGCGGTATAGCTTACTTCGCGCTGCTGGTAAACGGTAAGTGAAATAGTAGTGTGCAGTGAATGCATTTTTGTCGGAGCCGAGAATGGCAGCGCAAAATGAAAGAAAAGCTAAAAAGTAAAGAGTTTTACATGAGGCAGCAAATGGGCCCGTTTGCCAACTCCATTGCTATGTGTATTATCCATTGCTTTCTAAGCACTCGTGCCGCCCATTAGCCATTATGAATAGTTGTATGCGCCACGTTCGTTTTTATATGACAGCCGGGAGGGTTGTATTCGTGTTGCCGCCCGTTAGAAATTTTGTGCAAATATGATAGTTTTTTCTGAGCTGTAAGGCACGTAGAAGAGATTTCTCGAATATCTACGGTTAGTGCTCTCAGATTGTTCTTTATTGGCGTAGACAAAGTTTAGCTTTCTTTTTTCCTTCTCATTATTTGGCTCAGAACTGGAGTGTTTCCATCTATACGGACGACATGATCTAGTCAGCGTAGCCGTTGTCTCTCAATTCGTTGAACTATGTGAATGTCGTCGTATATCTCGTACAGCTCATCATTAACTGCGGTATCCGCGTTGCCAGTACGCAAAAGAACATACATAAATCTTCGGCAGAATCTTTCTCTCGAAAACTCGCAACGCCGACTCATCACTTTTTGGCATCGTCTTTGCCTCTGCACTGTATAGCAGGCCGAAGATGATGAGTGACTTATAGAGTTTGGTCTTGGTTCGTCGAGAGAGGACGTTTATATAACAATACAGCATAACAATAGTAATTTATTTCAAACCGAATTTAAGAGATTGCTTTTTTTGGATGACACAGTGAGTAAATTAACTCTACTTAATGTTTTGAATATCGAACCCTACCTACCCTTTTTTGAATATACTGAAATTTTTTTCTTGGATCAAAGAGTGAAGGATTTGGCAGCTTTCGAAATGTAAGAAGGCGAACTTGCGCTAGTATTCACGTTTCTGCTGAAAGTATTCTCGTAAGGAAGTGTTTACGATCAGCTATTTTCTTATGAAGGGAACGGGGGTAGGTTGAAAGGTCTGTTTTCTCACCCTTACCAGTTCAGCTTTCTTAGCAAAATGTTCGGACTCTGGTCTGTTATAGTTAACAATATAATAGTGGACTCTTTGTGTTAGCGAACTTGAATTGACAAATTTTTAATTCGCTCGTTGGAGTTAATGTTACCAGAGTGGAATTATAACTCGTATATGTTAAGCTGATGAACATGGTTAACTTACGGCAGGACTAGTTACCACAATAATCGGTAACTAGTTACCTCGTAAGCCGGTCTGTCAGAACCACTAAGGTACTCACTTATTTGCGGTTGTGTTTGGTTGGGATACTATTTCAAAAAAAAAAACAAAAAAAAAAAAAAAAAAAAAAAAAAAAAAAAAAAAAAAAAAAAAAAAAAAAAAAAAAAAAAAAAAAAAAAAAAAAAAAAATAGTCACTGACTCCTTGTTCCATTAGCGGAGAGTAAAAAAAAAAAATGGTTACGAAAAGTTCCTGGCTTTAAAACTTTTCAGGCGATGACTGAGAGGATCATATCATGGTTTCAAACGAATGCGCTGCCTTCGGAGTATTTTAGCAGGTTCTTACACGCACCATACAGGCTGTCAAGTTCGTTCCGTTTTGAATAAAAATCATGTTTTTTTTTCGAAATGCGAGACTTTTCGATTTCGTTTTAGTAGAATGATTTGACTTTTGCCTTAAAGTAGACCACAGTTTCGGCGATTATTTCTTCATTGTCGTTTAATTTGTTTAAGCGAGCATTCTATTGAGATCTGAAAACAAGTTAATTAGTTTTCCTTCTATATCGGCTTATAAACGTTTCAGTCACGTTATAAAATAGTTGTTGTTAAAAGTATTTTAACTTTTTGAGGTGAAATTTGGCACCCGTTCTTTTCTGTACCCTGTAAAATTTAGCTTTTTCTAGCTGTAAAGTTATCTTCACGAAATTTGTCAATAGTAACAGTACAATCTCCGAACATTTTGTTTAAATCGGACCTTTTTAGGATATGGCTGTCATACAAACCGACCGACAAAAATCAAATTTCTGTATAAAAAACTTTTTTTTGATAAGATATCTTTAGGAAGCTTGACTTGGATCATTGTCCAAGGCAATTGCAGAACCTCCCAGCTGCTCTACAAACTGATCGATCAAATTTAAATTCTTATATTGGTATTGTTGACGGGTATTATAGCGTCCGTGCAGAAGAGCTTAACTTTTCCTTTATTTTTGCTTTGTTTTTGGTTTTCATATATTTTCATATTTCATTGTGTTGGCAACCCTTATGCCACACCGCATACATTCAACTTACAACTGCTCCCAGTGCATCGTTTTTGTTAACTACATGAATCTTTACAATTTGTTCGTCCGTGTTGTCGCCGCTGCCGCTGTCGTTGCTCTTCTCTTTCTTCTTCTGCCAGGCGTTGTACTTTCCTGGTAGATGTATTGTTGTGCTTGTTGTTGTTGTCGATTTTTCCGTTTGTTTGTTTGCTTGTTGGTTTTGCAGCTTAAAATTTTATGTTGTTGAGTGGTTTATGACATTAAATTCCATTATTAATATTTCTGGCGTTTGTTTATACGCACACTCAACGCTCCACGGTATATTATGCACTTGTGTGT